TCTTGACAATAATTCGTGTCTTTTAATTTGTTAGGATAATAACCCTTTTTTTTTCAAAAAAAAAAAAAATTTAGTCTTGAATATCTTTATCCAAAAATTTGTGTTAGGTAGGTAACCTTTTGACCTAAGAATTTTATCTTACTAACTTGATTTTAGGTGATCCTTTTTTTTTTAAAAAAAATAATAAATAAATCTTGTTCCACAAGATTATTTTTTTTTTGCTTTGGGTTAACTTTATTCCAAGAGTATTAATTTTAATTTTAATTAGCTTTTTCTAATGAATTTTAGATGACATTCGCTCTAACAGTTTATAACTTTATGTTAATTATAAGTGGCTTATGTTACAAGAGTTTAATTTTATTTTTTTTTATTATTAATTTTTTTTTGATCACCTTAAGTATTTTTGTGTTGTCTTAGGTGACTTTTGTGACAATTTTAGGTGACATTCCATGACAGCCCTAAGTGACTTCTGTAACAATCTTAGGTGACTTCAGTAACAGTCTAATGTGACTTCCGTAACAGCATTAAGTGACTTCTGTAACAACCTTAGGTGAATTTTGTAAAAGTGACTTCTGTAACAGCACTAGATGACTTCTGTAATAACCTTAGGTGACTTCTATAATAGCCTAAGATGACTTCTATAACAGCCCAATGTGACTTCTGTAGCAACACTAGGTGACTTCTGTAACAGCCTTAAATGACTTCTGTAACAGTCTAATGTGACTTTCCGTAACAACACTAGGTGACTTCTATAACAACCTTAGATAACTTCTGTAACAGCCTTAGGTTACTTCTATAGCAGCACTAGGTGACTTCTGTAACAACCTTAGATGACTTCTATAACAGCACTAGGTGACTTATGTAACAACCTTATATGACTTTTGTAACAGTCTTGGGTGATTTCTGTAACAACCTTATGTGACTTCTGTAACAGCCCAATGTGACTTCTGTAACAGCTCTAGGCGACTTCTGCAACAGCCCAATGTGACTTCTATAATAGCCCTAGGTGACTTATGTAACAGCCCGAGGTGACTTCTGTAACAACCCTAGGTGACTTCTGTAACAGTCCAATGTGACTTTTGTAACAGCCCTAGGTGACTTCTGTAACTGCCCTAGGTGAGTTATCTATTCTTGTATTGCCACTATTATTATTATTATTATTATTTTATTTCCACTTTATTTATAGCATCAAGGTTTATGTTATTAATATATATATATATATATATATATATATATATATTTAAAAAAATTATTATTTGCCCTCTTTTTTTTTCCTTATTATTATTTTTATTATTTTTCAGATGGCCACATCTCAAAAAGCCAAATCAGAAAAATTTATCAAAATTTCAAGTCAAAGAAAGAACTTACCTTCCGATGAGTGGATTGCTGAGTCAGAAGATCCAATTCTGAAAGACAAGGTTTTGTGTTTTCCAACTGTTGTGGTAAAGAACTACAGAACTAGCTGTCAACATTACCACTCAAAATTCTTGAGCCCATGATTGGTCCCTGCAGCAGCTCGAGAATAATCTATGAACCTGAACTTCATATGTCGGTGATTAATGAGTATCCTTTGCCATAGAACATGCACAAAAGTGACACGGTTAAGTCAGATCGACTACCCTCACTTTGTGCGCCTTCATATCATTCCAAAGATCGTCTTATCCCAAAGCCACTTGTTGTTGATCTGGTCAACCAGAGGACTGCGAGGTGAGGATGTTCATTGAACCCAAGGGGAGATATTCAATATCTGAATGGGTTTTAGGAGTGGTTTCAACGAATTTATCGCAAGTTGTGAGATAAGGGTTTCAACAAACTTGCTTATGCTATACATGCAGCTTCTTTTGAGTACTCTAGACCTAACAGTGTATATCGTGCCCTCTGTGAAGTTTGGTGTCCACAAATGAATACATTTGTTATGGAAGCAGCAAAAATTGGAATCTCACTTTGGGAAATGCGACACGTCACCGGTTTTTCAATTCGTGGTGAATATTTTGAAGAAGTTATTCCAAGCTTAACTGAATTGAGAGACTCTGATACTAGTGTTCTTCCTGTGACTTGTCTGCACTTGTTTAAGGTTTTTTTCGTAATTAATAAGAAGAAAGGAGATAATCGTTCCCGTCATTCAGATTGGCTTATTTTTGGTTCAAGGATAGTGCACGTGCTCTGGATCCTAAGAAGAGCAAGACATATAAACCAGCCATGGCAAATTGCTTTAAAAGGGATGGAGAACTTTTTGCAAAGCGAAGATTGGTGAGAGCTATTTAGGCAGAAATACAACCTATGAAAATAAAGGTCAATGGTGATGATCCCTTCTTTCTTTTAGATCTTGACCTTGATGTCACAACACGTGAAGACTTGGAAATTGCAGCTTATTATTTAGCTTTATGGCTATGTCGTTTTGTATTTCTTTCATCAGATGATGTTATTCATCCAACTATCTTCAAGACTGCCTCCCGAATGGCTGCTTGAGTCACATATAGCTTGGTTCCCCCTATTGTTGCAAGCATTTATAGAGGTTTATTTGAGACATCCAGCACTCGATATAATCAAAAGAACCTCGGAATGGCTTCTTATGTTTTTCCAGGTCATTACTTTTATGCTTAGGCAGCGTTGCATTTCCCTCGAAGAGTTTATGCTGAGGTTGATGAGGAGTTTGATCGTCCTTTGCTTCGACAATTCAAAGGTACACTAAATGCTTATCTTTTTATGAGAAAAAAGTGAAAGGATTTCGAGATCTTCTACGTGAAAGTATGAGTTCCAGTGATTTTTGCTAGCAACCAGTTCTGTATTCTGGAAACCGAGGACCACGTCGTGGTGATGGACAAAGATCAGATGAAACCTCTGAATTAATGTAAGTATGCGAGGTGGACACGTCATGTATCGTCGTGGGCCAGTTTGCATTCTTGAGATGTATAACCCACATCATTTTACTAGGCAGCATGGATTTCATCAAAGATTACCGAGTACTCCCTCACATCCATCAATAATTTCATTTGATGCCTCTTTTTTATATCGGCCGTGGTTGAGTTTAACCAGGATAAACAGTGGAGCAGGATTCCATGTCCTTAATAATTGCGCTCTCATAGAGAATCAATGTGATAGTAGTTATAACAACAGGTGAAAATATGATGTACTCTCACACCTGGATGACATCAATTATAAGACCTTGTTAGCTAGTGAATCTGAGAATTTCAAATTCAAAGCTCAAGCTGACGGGTCAGGGAAGGGGAAATCCCTTCCTACAGTAGCTAAAGCTCCTTCACGTCTTCGAAAATGGGACACTTCAAAGGATTGTTTGAATTCTCAAGAACAACCGGTTCCGAAGATGTTAAAGGTCACAACACCTGTTCCAAGATCAGCTAATGTTCGATCTGTTCATCCTTTAAACATCCTAGAGTCTGCTGAAGTGAGTTCGTCAAACGAATCTGATCATTCACTCCTTTCATCCTGGATGTCTAAGGGTATTTTCAAGAAATAGGATATAGGCTCGAATCGTGAAAGGATTTCAAGCGCAATTGTACCAGTTGATAATCTTGGTTCTATTAAGCAGGTAATTCAAGAGAGGTGCCAAACAAGAGCTACAGAAGTTGAGCATAATTTCGCTTGTACCTGGTCAGAAGATGGTGCAAATCATACTACTATAAAGTCTCCCACAGGCAGTATTGACCCACCTTGTGATGCTTTGAATGACTTATCAATTTTTTTAGTTTAGAATTATCCCCACAATCCCGCAATAAAGGTATTTGCAAAATTTCATTGCTATTATCATTTTTTTTTATATTTCAAACCTCTTATCCTTTTTTTTTTTTTAACTTTTCCTCCACTCCCAGATCTTGTCACATTAAATTCCATCCCATGTATTTGTGGAGACCAAAATTTTGACAATGATATCATTGGAGTTTTATTTGATGATAACAATCGGACCATGTCCATTCTTTCCGTGAGTGGTGAGATTCTTCCTTTGGTTGATGGAGAACATATCAATCCATGTGAAGGGACAGTTAATTCTAAAACAAAACCTTCATGTGCTATACAAGCAGGGCAAGAAGCTATTAATAATTCTGTTATGAATACTCTTTTTAAGCCATCTAGACCTGGTGAAGCACGATCTCCAAGACTAATGCCGATGTTTTCATCTGTCTCAAGTATATTTTATTAGCCTGATCTAGTTGCCCTTTCGATTAGTATGCAACTAATTGCATATCTTTATTTGTGTCAAGTCCTCCTGTTGAAGCAATTACTTCTGAAAGATTGGTAAAGAAAATAATTCTGATCGGGATGCCCCCATATTTGAAGGGTGAATTTGATTATGCCATGAAAAATGGCTTCTCTGGATTGAAGACCTGGTGGACCTCTAAGTCTTCAAGTATTGAAGATACTCTTAAAAAAATTTTCTATGTTGACACAGATCTTTTGGTGAGAAATATGGATTGTCTTTTTATGAAAGTAGATGAGTATCTTTCAAAACGCCAAGAAAGTGTCAAAGTTTTAACCTCTGGAGAAAGAGATAAAAGGTTGTCGACAATTGATAACACGATATCAAGAGGACAATTCAAAATTCTTGGCTTGAGTGAACAATTGTTGAAATCTGAAGCAGAGCTATTGAGTCTTGATGATGAAATCCGACGACTGCAAGATCGAAGGGCCAAGGTAGCATCTAGCATTGACTTCATTCGTGATAAACGACAAAACACTGAAGAGACTATTGCGGTGATGGAGAAAAAACATGTCGAACTCCAGGAGTCTTATATTCGTAGCATTGAGGAGATACAGGATATAGATAAAATGTGATCCATGTTAGAGAAGAAATTTGTTTCATTAGCCACGATCGACTGGGTTGAAAAATTTTTATGATCTCATTACTCCTCAATTGTAATTCTTATATATATATATATATATATATATATTTTAGCAAATATGGATATTTAGATTTGAATTTTTTTGTTTATTCTATTATTTATTGTATTAAAAAAAGATTGATTCTCAAATAACTTAGATATCTCAAAGAAAAAATTTTAAGTTTAAACATAATTTCGAAGGAATTTTTTTTTAGTTAAGTCGTACACAGTTTTAACTCATGCGGGCTAGGAGCAAAAAAATTTTTTTTTTTTAGTTAAGCCGTACACAGTTTTAACTCATACGGGCCAAGAGTAAAATTTTTTTTTTTGGGTTAAGCCGTACACAGTTTTAACTCATATGGGCTAGGAGTAAAAAAGTTTTTTTTTTGGTTTTAAGCTAAGTCAATTTTTTTTTTAAAGTCGTACATAGTTTTAACTCTTGTGGGTCAGGAGTAACATGCAGTTTAGGCTCGTGCGTAAAGAAGCGCATGAATCTTTATTTTTGGTCAAGTCATACACAATTTTAGCTCATGCGGGCCAGGAGCAACAAGTTTTTTTATTTTATTTTATTTTTAGGTTGGCGCCGTGCACAGTTTTAACTCATGTGGGCCAAGAGTAACATGCAGTTTAAACTCGTGCATAAAGGAGTGTTACTTGTTTTCAAGCGTAGAAGCGCTTTAAGAATTTCTCATTGATTGGGCCAACCTTCAAGTCATCTTTGTAAACAATCTTGTATGCACCGTTGGTGTAGACTTCTTTTACAACATATGAACCATCCCATTTTGGCATGAATTTTTCACTGATACGATGCGGAATGACAATGGGTCTTCGAATTGCAAGGACCAAATCTCCTATTTTGAATTATTGGACACGAACCCTATCTATTTTCACCGCATTGTACGTTTTCAATGGTGACTCGATCAAACTGACTCATAAGTTGAGTTGCATAGCGACAGTATGAAATCAAATCTGATTTGCGAACATCATACAACTCCAAAACCTGATGAACCACCAGCTGTGAGTCTCCACAGATTTTCAATTGAGAGAGCTGCATATCAAGTACCATTTCTAAACCAATGATCAAAGCTTGGTACTTCACCATGTTATTAGAGCAAGACTCTATCAAGGTAATTGCGTAAGGCAATACTTCGTCTTTAGGGATAATGAAGACCATACCTGCACTAGCTCCATACCTTCGAGTAGCACCATCAAAGTATAACTTCCAAGACGGTATGAAGTCAGTGAAGAAAACATCTTCATCTGACAATTCTTCTGGTAGCTCTCAATTTGTAGGGATCGGGTGATTTGCAAGAAAATCAGTCAATGCTTGTACTTTGACTGCTCTTTGTGGAACATAAACTATGTCATATTTAGACAATAGAAGTGCCCACTTTGCCAACCTTCCCGAGAGAACTGGTCTTGACATAATGTACTTGACATGATCAGATTTTGAAATGAGATGAACAACATGAGCCAGCATATAATGCCTCAACTTTTTTGTAGCGAAGACTAATGCAAGACACATCTTTTCAATAGGTAAGTAGTTTAGTTCTGCACCTACTAATGTTCGACTCAGATATTATAATGTGTTTTCATTTCCTTCTTCCTTAACTTGTGCTAAAAGTGCTCTTAATGACTGTTCTTGGGTAGCAATATAAAGAATCAATGGTTCTCCTTGAATTGGTGCTTCGAGTACCGGGGGATGAATGAGATATTATTTTATATTTTCAAAAGTATTCTGACATGCATCATCCCATTCAAAAGGAACACCCTTCTTCATTAGTTTATTGAATGGATGACAACGTTTGGCAAGGTTCGAGATAAATCTTTGTATATAGGCAAGTCTTCCTTGAAGACTTTTCAGGTCATGCACACTGCGAGGCTCTGACATCTTTAGGATAGCCTCTATTTTTAATTGATCAATCTTGATGCCTGACAATAAATTCGAGGAACTTGCCAGAGATAACCCCAAAGACACACTTTAAGAGATTCATTTTTAGTTGATATCTCCGAAGTCATTCAAAAATGCTGCGCAAATCATCAAGATGATCTTCACATCTTCTTGTCTTTATGACCAGATCATCAACATAACATTCAACCTTTTTGTGTAGTACATCACCCAAAATCTTTTGCATTGCACGTTGATATATGGCACCAGCATTCTTGAGTCCGAATGACATCACTGTGTAGCAGTAAACTCCCTTGGGGGTTCGAAATGCAGTGAGTTCTTCGTCCTTAGGGTCCATTTCGAATTTGATTGTATCCAGAGGAACCATCCATGAAAGATAAGACCTTATGTCCTGTAGTCGCATCAACCATGAGTTTTGTAATCGGCAATGAAAAGTCATCTTTCGGACATGCTTGATTTAAATCTCTAAAATCAACACAAACTCGAATTTGTCTATTTTTCTTTCTGACAGGTACAATATTAGCAATCCATGTTAGATATTTGACTTCTCGAATGAATCCAGCGTCTATCAACTTGTTGGCTTCAACTTCAATTTGCGGGACTAGTTCTGGATGGAATCTTCATTGTGGCTGCTTAATGGGTCAAACTTCGTGTTTAATAGGAAGATGATGAACTGCAACTTTGGGATTAAGCCCTGACATTTCTTTGTATGACCATGCAAAAACATTTTTATACTCTTGTAATAGTTTAAAGTACTCACCTTCCCCTTGAGGTTTTAGAAGAGCACTCATAAATATTGGTCTTGGATCATCTTCCGTTCCTAGATTCAATTGCTTTAGATCATCAACAGTGGCTTGCCCTCCTTCAACAAAAGTCGATGGTGCTGGTTTAGGCTCATCGTCTGAAGTTGAGCCTTCTAGTTCTAAAGTTTCATCAATAGTCATATGGTTCATAGAGACAACTTCTTCCTCAATCTTGAATTTATTTATTAGTAAGGAATAAACATTCCTCGAACATATCTGATCCAAGTTTTGAAAAATGATGCAAATTCTCATATTTCCATCCTTCTTTCTCAATGATACGATGTTTCCGATCCACGCGGGATTTTTTGCTTCCTGAATGAAACCAGACTTGACCAACGTATTGAATTTGGCTGAAAATTGTAAAACTGATTTTTGAAAGAACCACTGTGGTGACAAAATGTCATCCGTAATAGCAGAATAGATGATAGCATCACTGTAACCAATATCTTCATGGTCATCCTCAATATTCTCAACCATATCTTGCCCCCATCCTTCACAGGTGGTCAAAGTTTGGTTGGATTCATCTGTTGAGGATAATTCTTCAATGTCAAATTCTTCCACTGTTGTTTGCTCAATGGTGACATAGTTCACTGAGACAGATTCTTCTTCGATGTTTTTAGTATGCACCATTTTTTATCTTTTCTTATTTCTTGCAAACAAGTCTTGGGTAGCTATAGGATTATTGAGATTAGCAGTGCCTTCCTCAGCTACAATTGCAAGCTTTGGTATATAATGTCTGCATTGTCTCCTTTGTTTCTTGCCTTGCTTGGAAAAGTTTGGTACATTCTGGTCAACAGATTATCACAAACGAGTGAACACCGAAACTTTTTGTGAAGATTACGAAGGAAAAGCTACCCCACTCAATCGATCAAACACTGTGCCTTGAGTATCTCGTTTACCAAGTCGATCAAAAATAAAAACACGAGATTGTATGATCTTTTTATCCTTATCCCCGCTTAATTGATCAAACACCGTGCCTCGAGTATCTTGATTACCGAGTCAATCAAGAATAAAAGTACGAGATTGTATGATTTTTTCATCTTTGCACGCAAATATTTATATCATGATAGGATTTGATGAAGCCTTCTTTAGCTTAATCGAGATTGAAGTGGGATAATATCCTATCCCGAATTTATGTTATACAGAGGTCTCTTCTTTAGCG